ATGACGCTGCATTGGATTCAATGGATACCGAGGAAGAGATATTTTCTCCTCGCAACCACAGCTTGGACTCGAATGTCAGACGGCCTAAGAGCCTGCGCAAGCTGAGGTCGCATTCCGGTTCTAATTCCCACATAACTAGAAACAATCTAAGTGTACGTCGCAGTACACGTAATAGAATGCAGACTTATGACAATCTCAATACAAGCTGGATTCTGGGTACAATACATCAATTATATGTAACATATAGAATACTAACTCATTATGAAAAATAGGAAAATAGAAATTCTTATATTCACTGCCAGTATTTATAGAAAATTTATAGTATAAGTTGTACATTATAAATTTTCAACACTAACAGTGAATATCGGAATGAATCTTTAGTATTCATAGTTAGATCTTATATTCAAGACTGTCTTAAGTAAGATAGTCTTAAGAAGTCACGAATCAGAGGATCATATTAGTGTCTTAAAACATTCATTAAAAGTTTGAAATAAGAATCTACTATGAACACACAATCCTTTTTTAGTTAACCTTTAACTGCTAATGCTCTGTGTATACAGTCATTACATGTACTCACTGTTGCATGTATTTAGAACTAGAAAATATAGTTCGAGTAATTAATATATATTTTAATTATTATAACATTTTGATTTATTTTTTTTATAATTGCATTTTTCAAATGTTTATTAAAATTAACAGGAACGCAAACTTTGAAAGGATATCCTATGTTTCAACAACACCCTTCTTCCTCGGATAAAGAGATGGTAGATGAAGTCCCTGGTAGAAAACGCGATGTTCGAGACCGTATGCCCTTAAAATCTCGTGAAAATCATCCACCTAATAAAACTCCGACAAGACATCTTAGGGATAGAACAGAACATGATCGACAAAATAGTAGGGAACTTCGAACTAGAGTTGATCGTGATCTCAAAGAAAGAACTGAACCGGAAAAGGATAGCGAACAAACGAAACCAGCGAATGAGGAGAAAGATACTAGGTATGTAATTTAATATTGAATGCTTATATACATACTTTAGTGAAATATAATATAATTAACATTAAACTGTTTCCTTAGAACAAGAAAATCTGATAGCCCGAATAGATTTAGAGAAGGTCCTGTAACCAGATTATGCGGAAATGTAGTTGAGAAAACTGAGAAGCCCAAAGTAGAGCCAGAGGAGGCAGATGTTAGCTCACATGAAAGTGAAAAACCAGATAATAATGATAATGATAATTCAGAAAACGAAGACGTAAGCAAACTTCTGCATCTTATTTCCCTATCGTTAAATGTTGACCTGTAAATTTATGTATCTTTTATTTACATTATTTTTTAGGGGTTTGAGGATATGTACACGCGCATTAAGAGGACAAGGCGCACGACTCAACGACAACTGCCAAGAGGTAAGAAGAAGATTCAGATTTGCCGGCGCTACAGTACAATATCCGCATATTTATTCCAAAATATAAATGATTTATACATTTATTTATATATGCAGTGGTGGATAGTGATCTAAGCGAATCTTCGGATTCTCCTGGGCCTAGAAAGTACAGTTTACGTCAAAAAAAGCCTACTGTAGATAGGTTTCAAGCTAATGTAGAGCCAGTTAGGCGTTCTATTAGAGCTCTTAGAAGTGTTCTCAGTAATTCGATGAGAAGAAGGAAACATAGAAGTAAGAGTACGAGTTCTGCTGATTCCAGTGACTCCGAACCTCAACGTTATGATAAGAAGAAAGGCAAAAAAGCAAGGTATTATATCACGAAACGTTTGTTGTACAATGTCTTTATTAATTCTGTGTAAATATAATACCATTTTTTGTAGTATCCATTGCAAATGGAGATCATAATGCTCGGTGTTTTTTTAATAGATTAGTTTAAAAAATATTTAAAAATTCATGTAACTTTCTTAACTATTCTAAATGAAAGATTTATATATAATTTTACAAATCTGTTTGTTTAAATATTTTATTTTTGTAAATATGTAAACACAAATGCATGTGTGGTAGTGATATGTTCAAAAATTTAACTTTTAAACAAATTAATGAAATTTAATAATTAGAAATGGAAATTAAAGTTTAAAATTCATATTTCAATAAAAAAAAGATATAATAACAAATTTTTTTAATTAAAATTTTTAAGTTCGGGATATGAAATCTTATAATTTTTAAACTTATAAAACTAAGCGTTTGTAATAAAAAAATGAGACTTTAACAAATTCATCTTTATTCAAAATGTATAATCTCATACATTTTTATAAATGAAAAAATATACTGAATGTCAGTGCAAAAAAATATGCACTACTTTATTATAAAATTATGATAAAAAGAAAAACGAGTTTGTTTGTATCACATATTCTAACATATTCCATCATACTTCTACTACAACTCCTAACAATTTTCTTTAGAGTAGGAGCTATGATAGGAGCATGTTGGAGCATGTGTGATATGAATAAACCTGGGTATGTTTTATGGAATAATTCAGAATGGATTCCGATCGGAATTATTCAATTATTTCCTAGATTTCTATTATATTTTTTAGGAAAAATGAAATAATTCCGATTTAGATCATGTAACTTTGTTCCTAGAGTGAAAAACGTGAAAAGTAAAATTTTGTGTGTATGTGTGTGTGTGTGTGTATATATACATGTGTATGGGTACATACATACATACATAAAAATGTCATTCACTTTTCATGTTTCCACTCTAAGGAAAAAGTTACATGATTCACTACCCAGAATATATTCCGATTTATTCCATGATAAATGTTCTGATGTGTCGAATTTAAAAAATCGCAAATAGTTTTTTAATTCAAGAACGAAAAGACATAACATCTCTTCTGTGGATCGATTTTTATTCTAAAATAAAAACATTTTTTTTGTTTTATGTATGTGTATGTATATATAGTTAACACGAAAAAAAATCATTTTACTGACTTGTACAAATATGCGTTGCGAGTCGGGAGTAAATTTTGTCTGCGTTCGATTTTAAACAATCACTGCTTAACGAAAAAATGATATATATGACTGCCAGGCTATTACGAGCACCTTTCCTCTCAAATTTTTGTAGAACTAAAACGGCGTGCTCACTTATTTTTAAAATATTCACAATTTAAAAAATCTGGATGCACACACACACCACACACACACACACACACACACATACACAGTAACCTCCATTTACACGTTGAGGGTTAATAAAAATATCAATTATTTTTACAGACAATCGGCCATACCACAAGGCGGTCCACCAGATCGAAAAGCTGACATAAATCCCATTACCTTAGATACTAACATTAGATTTAACGACGTTGGAGGTCTGGAAACCCATATTCACTGCCTTAAGGAGATGGTCATCTTTCCTATGATGTATCCAGATGTTTTTGAGAGATACGACGTTACTCCACCGAAGGGTGTTTTGTTTCATGGCCCGCCAGGTACATATAATACATTAAATTAACAAACCTATCGTTTTAAAGTGTAATATAATAAAAAACTTATTTTTTATTTTTGGGTAATTTGGACGTTTATTTTAGGGACTGGAAAGACACTAATAGCTAGAGCACTAGCAAATGAATGCAGTCAAGGCAACAAGAAGATGGCATTCTTCATGAGAAAAGGAGCGGATTGTCTGTCAAAGTGGGTTGGAGAATCAGAACGACAATTGAGATTATTGTTTGAACAGGCTCAACAAATGAAACCGTCCATAATATTTTTTGACGAAATAGATGGTCTGGCACCTGTTAGAAGTACCAAGCAAGATCAAATACATGCTAGTATCGTATCCACACTTTTGGCACTTATGGATGGTCTCAGTGATAGGGGACAGGTAATAAAAATAATGTTCTTCGACAGTACAAATTAAACTTTAGCCTTCTCATGAAAATGCTAGTTGACCTTGGCTTTCTAATTGGTTTCAATTGCAATTTTTATAAGAAGAAGTTATAAGCTTTTTGCTCATTTTTCATTTTGGAGAACTGGGCTTGTTTTAAAATTTATTCATTATTGCTGAACTTTTCTACCTCAGAAATTATATTAGATTTATATGGTATTTTTAGAATTTTTTTATCTTTTTCTTTTTAATTGTTAAAGGTTATAGTTATCGGTGCAACGAACAGAATTGATGCAATTGATCCAGCTCTGCGAAGACCTGGCCGTTTTGATCGTGAACTCTTTTTTCCCCTACCGGCTATGAAAGAGAGATTAGAAATCTTGAAAATTCACGTTAGTAAATGGAAAAATCCGCCATCCGATCAATTATTGGAGATACTGGCGGAAAAAGCAACTGGTTATTGTGGCTCAGACTTGAGAGCTTTGTGCACCGAGGCAGTACTGCAGGGATTACGGAGAACTTACCCACAAATTTATATGACAAATGACAGATTACTGCTGGATCCGGAGAGAGTTGAAGTACGTTTAGTATAAAAAGAATAATATCAATATATAATCGAAATTTTATATTTTAGAAGTTGATATTAACTATATTAATTAACAGGTAAAGAAACGTGATTTTATGCAAGCAAACGCTATGCTCATTCCATCATCACATAGAGTAGCTCCATGTGCAGGAAGAAAATTGCAACCTTTTATGGAACCGCTATTAGCACCTCCATTAGAAGAATTACTTAATTTAATAAGAGGAATATATCCTCAAGGTGTAAATCCTGCAATGGCAAAGTAATTATTCTTTACATATATATTATAACATTTCACATTATAATCATAAATAATATTGTTAATCAAAATATGTTCTTATAAATTGTTCTATAATTGTGATTTGTTTTTATAGAATGAGAAATGCCAAAGGTATCCATCGCCCAAGATTATTAATTTCGGGTGGCAGTCTGTCTGAGGGTCAGGGACCTCATTTAGCTCAAGCATTGCTATATTGCATGGAACATCTGCCAGTTCAGATTTTAGATGTCAGCACATTGTTTGCTGAAAGTGCTCGATCTCCGGAAGAAACTTGCGTGCAGGTTGTATAATTTACTATATTAAATTTTTAAACTTATATATTTGTCTACAAGTTTTAAAGCTTTAATTTCATAATAATTGAAAATTATATTGATAAAAAATAATAATTTGATTCGAAATATAATAAATATCACACATAAATGAAAAATTAAACTATCTATTTTAATTTTTTTATTCATATGTGATATTTATTATATTCAAAGGAAAAGAAATATTAGTTAGAGAGTTAAATAGATAAATATTAATAATTATAAATATTGTAGGTATTTAATGAAGCGGTTAGGAATGTACCGTCCATAATTTACATTCGATCGATTAATCAGTGGTGGCCTCTCGTGCCAGAAACAGTGAAAGCAGTTTTCCTGTGCCGTATCGCAGCACTAGATCCTTCCTTACCAATTTTAATTCTCGCAACGAGTGACGCAACGTATCAAGATCTTCCCGATCAATTAAAAAGCTTATTCAGTGAATTACGTGGAGAGGTGTATTCTATGAAGACTCCTACCACCGAACAAAGAACGAAATTTTTCCGGCCCATTTTTGTTATTCAGTGTCTAAGACAGCCGCAGATCAAAAGCAACAAAGTAGAGGTTTTAGAAACACTGCCATTAGCGCCAGATCCGTTGCCAAAGAAACTAACAGAAGAGGAGAAGCAGATCATGTACGAGAAAGATGAAATATCTCTGAGAGAATTACGAATTTTTCTGAGAGAAATATGCGCTAAATTAGCGAGAAATCGACAGTAAGTTTAATATTATATAAATTATTTTCAGCTTTTTTCAGAGTATATCAGAAGAGTTTAATTGAATAATGTGTTTCAGATTTTTCATGTTTACAAAACCGGTGGACACGGAAGAAGTACCGGACTACAATCTAATAATAAAGCAGCCTATGGATCTAGAAACGATGATGACCAAGATCGATATGAACTGCTATTTATGCGCCCGCGAATTTCTTGACGATATTGATCTCATATGTAGGAACGCTCTAGAATATAACCCAGACAGGTCAGTAACTAAATCAGAATACAATCTTTTTAAAATTTCTCGCCAGTCAAGGAAAACAATCATACGAGTCTTTGTGCGAGAATTATCTCCATTACAGAAGCAGTTATTGATATTGTGCTATAACTTGAAGTTCTTCTTTAGCAATATATACTGTCTTTTTCTATACTGACATTTCATATTGTGTGTTTTCATGTCAGCTTACGTGATAGGCCTTCCCTCGGAATATTAAAGAGGTAGTTGAGCTTTTTGCTGTTTATCCGTAATGCTGTTATCGCTCCGTAGATAATAGTGGTTTTCAATTTAGAGCGCACCATAATCGTTGTTGTTTTGCTAGACACACCATTATGACTAATTCACCACGCATCATTGAAGACCACTCCCATTAGTCATCATGCTTTCTATCAATGGAATGCTAGAATGATTTTCTTTTTTATATGCTAATAACACATTACGTTTTTTTTTCATAGGGATCCTGCAGACAAATTAATAAGACATCGAGCGTGTTCTTTGCGTGATAACGCTTATGCTTTAATAAAAGCTGAATTGGACTCTGATTTCGAGGACAAGTGTCGTGAAATATCGAAGAATCGTCGAATTTTAGAAAGCAATTGTGATAATGATGAAAGCAAAAATTCCAAGCTGGAATCTAATTCCACGAACGAACGAACAGACAAAAAGGAGTCTATAAATTCTAGTCACTCTCTCGTTGTGAACGGAAAGAAATTCGGTAGTTCGAGGAAGCGTAAAATACCCGCTTGGGCTCGCGGTTATGTAAAGAAGGTTCAAAAGAAGAGGAAGATCGCTTTCGAGGAGAATGTTACTGAAATAGTTGCGAATAAATCAGCAAGCAATGAAACTACTAGTATTGATCTAGAAAAATTTCAAGAATTCGAAACTGAGGCGAATAACGTTTTGAATGGGCATATGGGATTGTTTGATAATACTGATTCAGAGAATGATTCGCAAAATGAAAATTCAAAGGGAAGTCAAAACTGCACTATAACCGATCAACGAATAGATAATCTTGATCAAATGGAAATATGCTTCATAGAGGAAGACAAACCAATGGTGAATGGTGATTCGAGTTCGTCATCTCGACGCGAAAGCATGGACGAATTATCATTCGCCATCGAAAGTGATACTAGCCGAGATAAGATTGAAGAAAACGAGAAAATTGTAGTTGATAAAAGCGAACTTGATAATGCATGGCATTTTACTGTTGAAATAACAAAAGACTTTCCTGTCGAGGTGTTATGCGATATTTATGTGCAACTAAGCAGATGCGTTGGGAAATATGCTCAGAAATACGATAGAAAATCACTGCCAAAGGTAAATACTTTGTATTGTAAAATTATGCTACAGAAACTATATAATTTAATAAAATTAAAATATATTGGTTAATTTAACTAGGTATAAATGTATGTTAACAAACATTGTTACTTTCAGGACTTGCTCAAGGAAGTGGAAAAGTTTACAGAGTACAAGTCACAACGTCAGTAGAGTATAATACACAGGTATGAAAGAAAATGCATATTACTAACAAGACAAACGTATTACATTATTACGCCATTGTGACACCTTCAGCAACACATCGGAAGGTCTTTTTTTGTATATTTATACTGATCGTAAAGCTGGATATTATCATTGTTGTATCAAATGGAACTTTGGAATCCTATATTTCTTAGTTATTATACTGCCAATTTTTAGATGAATAACAGCATGTATCTGCAAAGTTATTGCATTTGTGTAAGATAAAAAGCAATTTTAGTTGATTATTAAGTTCCAGGTATATTAGATTGGATTTTGTACATATTCTAAAAATACTGTAAATGTCTAATCAAGTGATTATTTGATATTTCATACAAAAATAAGATAATATCATGAATCTTAATTTTATATATATAAGGCTAAAAAAGTTAGAATGCCGTTTTTTATTGCTGCCATTTATATATTTTTTTTTTATAAAATTAATTTGATTTAAATTTAATAAATGGCTTCTGTAAAAATTTGATTTATTATTATTGGCTTGATAATGAAAATATTATCATGTTTAAAGCTCCTGAGTAGTTATTATAGCCATATTGAATTGTGACGTCAGAAGCGAGAAATGACACGTTAATTTTTGTTCTTTCGTACCATTTGTAAATAAAGACAATTTGGACAAAACAAAATAATGAGATTGTTTTAAAACAATTGTAAAAATAGATGAAAGCTATTCTCATTCCTTTCTGACAGTCAGTAAATAATCTTATAAAGTGATAAAAGGCACGTGAAAGTAAAAATAGTGTACGTATACACATAAATAAATAAATAAATAAAAATACTGAATAAAAATACTTAATATGCCTTTTATTTTTTTACAATTATTGTCTGTCAGGGGGGATAAAAAAGCTTCATCCATTTTTAAAATTATTTTAAAGCGATCTCAGCGTTTTGTCTAAATTGTCTTACGAATGGCACGTAACAAAAATTAACGTGTCATTTCTCGCATTTGATATCACGATTTAACATGGCCATGATCACAATTTAACTACTCAGGAGCCTTAAAACTTAATATTTTCGAGATTACATCATTTTTATATATCATAATGGATGTGATAAAAGTAATAAAACCAAATAAGATAAAAGTAGTAAATTGCTAACATTCTTGCATAATATTCCTTCAGAAAATAACTCTTTTATTTCTAAACGTTTGTTCAAAAGATTCCAGATTAAATAGAAGATTAAATAGAAGATCCAATTAAAAACTTATCTGACAATATATAATATGTATAACGCAAGAGAGGATACAAGTTTTTAATTTAATCTTCAGTCACTTAATATATACATACTTTATATGTATACAGACACATATACACATTTTGCAAAATATATATTTTTCTTTCAAGTAATTACATTATATTGATCATACAGGGTGAGGAAAAAATACCGGAACCACGAAATATCTCGAAAAATATAAGTTTTATGGAAAATTGTTTAAATAAAAGTTGTAACGTTTGAAAAGTTTATCTACCGGTCTTATCTTATTTAATCTTGAGTGGCATTGCCAGTCATATTGATTTCTTTAAATGGAAATCTCTACTTAAAACCTGACTTGACCTTAACGATGCTATCTGAAGTTAAACTAATAAGATAGATAGATTTTTTAAACCCTACAACTTTTACCTGAAACAGTTTTCTATAAAGCTTATATTTTTTGACATATTTCGGGGTCTTTCTGTATATTTTCCTCACTCTGTATAAGAGATAATAAAAACACAAGAATTGGTACATTGTGTACTTAACAATTTTAATTTAATTCAATCTTTATGAAGCAAAGATATTAATATAGTACAGTGATTGTTCGCAATTTTGTATAGCGGCTTTTTTTATATTATCACGAGTTTTTTCATTTTATTAAACTTTATTACTATTTAGAATTATTCATCTCGAATAAAAATTTATCGGAGAGAAAGTTAAAACATGAAACGTTTTTTCTTACATTTGTTACATACATATACTCTCTAAATCTTTTGGAGTAAAATCATCTCACTCCAAAAAGCTGAAAATTGACCCAGTCTTGAAAAAAAAGAGAGAAAATATAATATTTTTACTCTTGGAGTAATAGATTTTCATTCTTTAGGAGTGAGATGAAAGAATTTCATTTTTTTAGAGTAAGATTTCACTCTTAGAGTCACTCCAAGGAATACAGTTTCAAGAAAAAAGAGTGAGATCTCATTCCTTTGGAATGAATCTCACTCTAAAAGAGTGAAATCTTACTCCAAAAAAAGTGAAAATCTGTCTTGTTCAGAGTAAAAAAAGTTCATTATTTTTCAAAATTGGCTCAATTTTCATTCCAAAAGATTCATAAAGAGTATGATTATGGTTTTCTCTTTATCGTATCGTGTATCAAAATGTATCTCGTATTACAGAATGTATCAATTCAAATTATTACTTATAAGTATAAGATGATACACTTGACGTATAAAAACGATCAAATCTTATTATCTCAAGAGAAAAAATTCAATACAAAGTGTTTTAATATTTTATATAAAACATTAAATTTTTTAATATTAAATCACGAAAATTATATTCGATGTCTAAATAAATATGAGATAATGAACATACATCTATATATGTAACAATATTGTTCATCAAAACTATCTTTCTAACTGAATAATTGCTTCAGTTAAATGTGATCTTTTTCTTATGTGATAGTAATTTTTGATCTATCCTTTTCAGTTCATATGAAATAACTTAAGATGTATTCAAAATGTGACTAGTAATCTGCAATTTAAATAGACCAAAGTTGTAAAAAGGATAAGGTTTTACTCGTTGAAGATGGAAACAGGGCACTTAATATACACACACTTACACTATTATAAATATGAAATACCTCGATAAAAAAAAATATATATATATATATATGATGCAGTGGCGGCTAGTTAGTCATGTTTAGAGCGGTTTCGAAGACTCTTAAAAAGTGAATGAAATTTAAAAAGTGAAATTTAAAATAGCAAAATTAATCGTTCGCGCGTTAGATCTCCAAAAGTGAGCCGCAACAATTAATACATGGCAAGTGTTTGGATTGGGATTTAAATTGGCGACAAAAAAAATTTACCTTTTTTACTAAATTTATTAGAAGAAATGAGTAATATCAAATTTAAAATTCGAACCGGTAATGGAAAGGAATATTATATAAAACGTTGAGACTTCCAGTCGATCCTAGGCACTCTTGAATATCTGGCCGTCGCTCTACAAAATATCCCAGAACTATCGCACTTTCTTCCACTTAATTTTCTTTTTTATTTTTCTCGACTTTTTAATTTTCGTATCTATCCGAAAGTGAGACAAATAAAATTTTTAATAGATAATCAATTTTATAAAGCTGTATTTTAATTTAAGAAAAAAAAACTGCCGTTCTTATTATTCAGAAATCCAAGTATTCATGCTTGAGAAGAACTGTGACGATTCTGGGAAACTTTGTGTTATATGTACATGTATAAATATTAGCGAATATTTAGGATATAACTTGCCTTCCCCAGATTCGTGTATTGGTTGTGACTTGCTGTAATTGTGAACGATTAGTTACCAGATGAAGTCGTATGCGACGAGACGAAAACTCGTTTTCACTTAATTAAGCTGTCCCGAACAGCCTGAAAAAAGCAGATTCTCTTCAATAACCATTTAAACAATACATCGGAGGCAACATACATACAGGGCGCAATCCATCCTTTGCTGTTCAAATCATACAATCGAATAGGAGCTATAGTAAATAAACTCTGTCAATAAATCTCTCATGTGATCCACGAGTAATATCTTAGGGATACATCGTTATTGTTAAGATATAACGTTTTTCGTTTGCAAGAGCGTGATTTAAGAGGTAATCTACAAATTTTGTTAGTAACATATCCGTTTCTTGCGTCAGGTGATGCATTCGTAGCGAAGAAATTTTTGTAGTTAGCATGATAAGAATTCGTTTCGTTCGGCGATTGGATCGTTCGTCGAAATTCGATTGTATTACTTGCGAAATTTTCTAGTAAGTAGAATCGAAAAGACTGAGGTTTAGGAAAGAAAAAAAAAGAAACGCTCGCTTTTTTCCCAGCGTTCGTATTATGCATATGCGATGTACACACATTCTCGATTCTCAACCCCATTTGAAAATGAAGAAGGATGAAAGGGAAAGAAAAAGAAGAATTGCTTTACGTGAATTATTATTGATTCTCTCGCGACGGGGATCAAGTATCCGGTATTTGCCAAAGAAGCTAACGACAGATAATGCAAGACCTCACTCCTGCATATACATAATTATAACTGTTGCAAAGTGTTCAGATAAAATACGGAAGTTACACCGTTAACTCGCAGTCGGACGGATGTGTATATATAATTTTTCTTCTAGCGATCACAGATTTACATTCCGCACTCGAAGTCACGAATCCGAAAGAGACGGCTGCTGTTCTGCGATTACGTTTTTGGTGCTCGTCGGTATGCCGTCGTTTTCGCAATACCACCGCATGAAAAAATCCGCGTTATACGTACATATACATATATGTATAAACAATGTATGCACTATCGAATCGAAAAGTTATCTTGCAAACACTGCCGATTACGGACGAGCGACCACATTTATCTATTTCTCTCTTTCTTTCTATCTCTTTCTCAATAGAACATCCCTTAAGACTACTCTCTACGAAGAATGAAGTATTAACACGCTCGAACTTGAGCTGTAGCATATCAAGTATCTGGCAATTTTTTCTACTGACAATGTACGCACGCAGAGTAGATGGTAGCCTTAAGAATTTAGGCGCATACACGATGAAGTTGTAAAAGATACGGACGAAAAGCGACGAGATGCATCCACTGCCTTATTTATTTTATCATATAAGTAATACATTTTATTGTCATATATTATAGTGAAATAAAAATTTCGTAATGTAACCGATTTATTGGCGATTTATTTATATTCCTTTCTGTCTGTTCCTTTATTTTTTATCAGGAAGGAAATTGGAACATACGAGCGTCGTATCGATACGAGAATCGATCCGTGTGACTTTCCATCTATTAGCTGACGATAATGTCAGGAATAATGTTGAAATTGAGTAGTAGGTTCTCATAACTTCGAATAACACTTGCGTAAAAATTCCAGTGACAATATCGATTGTAAGATCACCTCAGGATGTATGAATAAATCGTAGATTTCCACTGAGAGACATCGATGATAGTAATTGATATTTTTACATTGATTATATTGAGTAATTGATATTTTTACATTGATTGTATCGTATCACACAGAAGTGGAAATAGATCGGTTTAGCTTTCCCCGAATTCTTGAAAAAGACAAAAAAATGTCTGCCACGATGAAAGATTTCTCCTGCATCGGAGGGCTGGAAAAACATATTAGAATTGTGAAGGAGATGGTCCTATTCCCATTGATGTATGGGGATGTATACGCTAAATTCAATCTCAGACCACCACGTGGTTTATTGTTCCATGGCCCTCCAGGTAATGTCAAATACTTCATCATGTAAGATGGATCTCTTTTGCTTTTATTCTTCTAGGAACGGGAAAGACTCTAGTAGCCAGTGCATTAGCAACAGAATGCAGCAATTCCGAACGTAAGGTCTCCTTCATCTCGCGCAAAGGTTCTGATTGTCTTAGCAAATGGGTCGGAGAAAGTGAGAAGAAGCTCGAAAAGATTTTTTCCCTGGTCGGTAAAGTTTGATCTCTTATAATTCCATGCCATTCCATGCTCTTATCATTTTAATCTGTTCAGAATTTAATAATAAACATTTAAATTTAAAATTAACTTTCTTCAAAACTTGACTATTTTGAACAAATTGTACTGTAAAATTGAATCTGTAAAAAGTCATATTTACAAGAACCAATACAGCACAGAAATATTTCAAATATTTTAGAAAATATTTTCTGAGTGATAAAAAGGAAAATAAAAAAAAATATTTCTAACAAATTTTTAAGATATGTTATTAAAAATGTTACCATGAAAAAAAAATCATTTTAAAATATTTCTAAATTTTTTAAACAATATCTTTTCAAGTATTAAATGTTTATAAATTTTTTTTTTAAACATTTTCCAATATTTTATTCCCGTAGAATTTCCATAGGAAATGAGCTTCCTCCATTTCATCTCTAATTCAAAGAAAGAAATTATTTTCTTCTCTAGGCACAACAAACAAAACCATGCATCATTTTTTTCGACGAAGTCGATGGTCTCGCGCCTGTGAGATCTAGTCGGCAGGATTTTGTTCATGCCAGTGTTGTTTCCACTCTTTTGGCCCTGATGGATGGTCTGGATAACAATTCCGAGATCATAGTGATAGGCGCGACTAACAGAATTGATGCGATAGATCCCGCTCTGAGGAGACCCGGCAGATTTGACAAAGAACTGTATTTCCCTCTGCCTTGCTACAGCGCCAGAAAAGAGATACTTTCGGTATCGTTCTGCTAGTAAAAAATATCACAACAATGTGTAAGAAAAAAGGTAATGATGAAGTGGAAAACGTTATGTTTTTATATGGGGATAGGTGCATATTAAAAGCTGGAAGCAGAAACCAGCGCAAAAATTCTTAGCGAATCTGGCATCGAAAACGCTAGGATTCTGCGGCAGCGATCTACAGGCTCTTTGTGCTGAAGCAGTTATGTGCTCCGTTCGTAGAAATTATCCACAGATCTATAATTCCAAGTCTAAGTATCACATCAATGAACGCCATCTCAAAGTAAGACACTTGGTGTGACAATAAATACTGATTTGATCCTACTTAACAAATAAAATAGATTACAGAAAAAAATAGACTTTATATAGAAATAATTTTTATGTAAAAATATATACACATACGTTTCATATACATTATATTTTGTACATTTCGTACTATTCTTACATAAAGTAAAACATCTAATTGCAAGAGAAATATTTCTTATCAAGGTGGAAAAAGAAGATTTCTTGAAGGCACGCCAAAACATCGTTCCTGCGTCGCATCGCATTATCATTGCCCCAATTAAGAACTTATCCTTCAGAATCCAACCGTTGTTGCACGAGGATTTGACGGGAATCCTATCGCGTTTACAAACACTTTGTCCAACTGGCATGCTGACTTCCGATAACATGTAAGTGATATGAAAATATCCAGGGAAACGAAAATCAAATACTAATCCACGTGAGACCGCAGTATAGGTAAAGCCATGTCCAAATCGAGCGGCTGTCCGCGAATTTTGCTGTGCGGTGAAGATGATTCCCACACTCGTCATCTAGGCCCGGCATTGCTGCACACCCTGGAACACTTGCCATGTCACATCTTGGACGTTACGACGTTGTTTGAGGAAACGGGCAAGGCGGCTGAAGAAGCCATGATACAAGTAGAAAATAATTATTTCGTGTTTTTGAGCAAAATATCAGATGACAGTCATTTTATTGTGACAGAAGATCAAAACCGCGCGACACACCCTACCAGCGTTGCTGTATATGCCCGGGGTCTTGACCTGGTGGGATCTGGTGGATGAAACGGCGAGAGTGGTTTTTACCTCTTTAATACGTGGTCTCGATCGATCGGTGCACATGCTCGTGCTAATGACCGCTCACTGCCGACACATTAATCTGCCATCGGAGGTTGATATCCTTTCTGTTTTTTTTAATATTCTCTTGTTTTTTGAACATGTTTAACATTTTTCTGCCCGTGTTTTGTATATATTTAGTACATCAAGGTTTAAAAAATTATAATTCAAAATTGGACCAATGAGAATAAATATGACTAAGAGAAATCTTATTTTCGATCAAAACGGATTTAAATATTTCACAATAAAAATTTATATATATATATATAT